GTCAAAGGGCAGTCGACATGTTATTATGCATTTTTCGGATATTAAATTTTGTCTAATAATAATTTGACTGTGATCTCATCCAATATTGAGGTCCAGTCCTACCTCTGATCAATGTCAACGAGGCACTCTTTTTTAACATCATTATAAAGCAATTAGGCACTAAGTGATTGCCTGCCTATTTACATAGGCTATGTAATTTGAGACGACCAAATATAAATAGGTAATTATATTTACTTGTTTACTTTGCCTCGTGGATTACTCTGTATATTCACTGCCTTAGAATTTGCGTGAACTTAGCCCGAAATTAGACACAAATATCAGTAGTCTGAATAAGATTAAGTACTATTCTCCTTCCTAAAATAAAGATGACGCAGTATCCTAAAAATGGAAAGGTTTACTTACTTTTATTGCTCCATTCCTTTAAATTGCTGAATATGTTACGATAAAATACCTAATTAATGATGCAGACAAAATGTAACTCAAAATCATAAAGTTACAACCTTTTTTGATAACGTAAAGAAACCTTCAAAAGGCGCCTAGCTTTTTTTAGAAAAAAAACTAGGGTGTGTGTGATTCCTACTCCTCACTAAAACTACCCCGATGGCCACCATCATCACCTATGGGGGGCACCGAGTCCTCTATAATAGACCTGCTCCGGAATCCTCGCGGCGAAGCGCCTGTAACGGCACATCCCAATGGAGATGCATCTTCGTAGGTAACTGATAACGACAAAATAATAAAATCCAACAGATCCAATAGTTCCATATCCAGACATTTAACAAACAGTAGAGAACTTATGAAACTAGTTAAAAGTTATCATCTAAGTAACTTTAATACCAGAAAAACCGTACAAAAAGCTTAGCGATCAATAAATCCAGGTTACAATACTAAGGTAATACACACAGTTATATAACAGATTTATAACAAAACACTAATTAGTACGATTGTGGAATGTTTCCCATATTACGCAGATCTGTTTCCCACGATGCCTTTGCCTGAGCAAGCGTGATCTAGATGCTCTTCGGCGATAGCAGTTAGTGTCAAACGTGCTTAGGTCACGCCAAATTTGTACTGTGGTACTTGTAATGTAAGTGAACTTCAAAATTCGCGAAGTGACTAGGTTTGGTATTGAAAAATGTCAAGTACTTCTTGTCACGACATTCTGTAGTGATGTCTCTGTGTTGTTGTTTGTCGTGTGTTGTATTTGTGTGATTTATTTAGTCGTTATTTGTCGTTGATTTTAATTTGAACTATCAAATCTTGAATCTTGAACTATTCAAGTATAAAAAAAATACATCTTAAAATTTAACAGTCACCTACCTACCTACCCTTTTGTCCTGTGTCTTAATTAATGAAAATTAAACTTCAATGAAAATGTATTCATTTTATTACTGTTGCAGAAATAACTAGATCATAAAATCCAACAGATACAGAAATAGATACAATAGTTCCATAATCCGATCATTTAGCAAACAGTAGAATACTTGTTAATTAGAAACTAGCTTTATTAAACCTCTAAAATTCTAAACAGATAAACTTAACTGCAGCACCCATTCAATTAGGAGCTTAACTAATTTGCCGCTTGACAGTCGTTCAATCACTTTAATACAGAAAATAATTTATACGAACTAACCAAGGTTTGTTACTTTGTTCCCTTGCTTTACATTTTCTCAAACACACGTGTTACCGTGCCAAGGTTCCGTGGACAACTTTTAAGATTATGGTCAAGATCTGAACTAGATTTAGAAACTGATCGAATTACATAAACTTTTGTACGAAAATTACCTTTATTTAAAGGGCATTAATGTAGTTATTCGATTTAAAAATGTTTATTAAGCTATTAACGTGGAATTGTACAGGTTTGTTGATGAGGTAATTGGTTTCTTCATCATATTTAATGTAGATAAAAGTGTTGGTATGAGTTTCAGAATAACTTGAAAGGAATCGGACATCGATTAATTTTATGTCAGTAAACCGTAAATATCATTTCAAAAGAAGTTTTTCAACTTCGTTGTCTCACTCAAGATAATATTGTCTATAAATACTACTTCGTACCTGCAATCTGCAGTCATTGTTAGTGATTACCCACTACCCAGCTGTAAATGATAGGATATAAGATCATTAAACGAGTTTCTCTTATCTAGACAATGAGTAAGTATAGTTAATTATAAAAAAAAGAATAAGTTCAGAGATAAACAATAACTTTTTAATCAATAATAGTTTTCCTAGACTGAATTATGTACGTATGCAACACAAAATGAAGTAGACTAACCAAGCAATGAACTTTATCGAAGGCCTCACTAAAGTCCAAGAATACGTTAAGAGTTTTGCAAAAAAATATTGATCAAACTGATGATCTAAGATAGCACCGTGATCTGCGGATAATAATTAAATATTATGTATATCAACGTATGCGCATTCCGATTAAGATATTCAAAAATATGTAACTAGATTACTAGCATAAAAACATTTAGATTGATTTATACTTAATATTTGTAAATTCGCTTCGATCAACAACGTTTCTGACATTTAATTGATTTCGTTATTCACTTAAGTATCGATTAGATCTGAACATTAAGCGAAACCATTAAGAATAAATAGTTTTCTCACGTTTTTGTATTTAGAAATCTTTATTTTGAGGGACAGCTATTTGAATAGGTGCTACGGCAATTTGTTCATTAGTAAATAATGTAAGTGATTTTGCCACCCGTTTTTATTTATACTCCTCACGTAGACCACTACCTACTTTCTTCAGCTTTTCTTTATAACTTTAAACCTGATCAATTCTATAAGTATTTCTTCAACGTTTAACACAATTAGTCCCAATAAATCGATTGGACCAACAAGCTCTAATTCACAAATAACGCCATCTAACATGATTATATTATATGGTATACGAATTCCTTCGTATTTTATGCTTTTTATTTCACTTTGGTTTACGAATATATTGTTTGAACGAATACAACTGCACCTGTTTCAAATTTAAATCCACCTTCATCTCATTATCTACCACGACCACACACAGAATCAGTATCAATATAATTTTACTGAACGTTATTATGAGACACAATAAATAAAATATTAACTTTATTAGCCAAATTTGCAATTCTGTAATGATTTGAGTCATCTACCTCGCCTTATATGTACGATATTATAGCAACATTCTTTTGTACTGACGGTGCATGGCTTTTATTATATTAAAATACGGAACTATCATTGGTCTTTTGATTTTGTATCTGAGGTGTCGCACGAAGTCTGAATTCATGACTCTCATTATTATGTCAAAATTTTATATCACTGTACACTTTTATTCATCCTTCCAAAGAAGGGAACCCTTTAAAAGGTGCCTAGTTTTTGTAGAGCAAAATTTGGGATTGAGAGATTCCTAAAATTGCCCCACTAAAACAAGTCTTGGGATTAGTGTCAACTCCAGAGACAACTGTGCAATGCCCAAAATATCTCTTTAGAGATTTAGGTCTCCCATGAACCTGGTTCTGCATGAATATCATTACCTACTTTACCTAATGTTTCTCTAACTTCAAAAATCCAAAAGGTGGAACGACCAATAATATTTTAAGTCTTTGTAAACATGAACGGATTCAAAACATAATTTATGATACGCCACTCAAGCTCTAGTTCTGTCAATAAAGTCAATATTTGCTTACCATCCGTCAATTAAATTTGATTAAAAGCAAACAATGGTGGACGCAAAGGAATTCATTGTTGTTAAACTTAAATGTGCAGTAAACTGTATATCAATATAAATGTTCTATTTAAACCCAAATGTTAAGTGAAGGGACGTCTAATCCCAATAAATCACTAATTTGCTTAGCATTGCGTTATTTTGTTACCACGAAATATTGAGCAGCAAGATCAGTTTGACTGTTGGTTTTAATTGGGATTGGTGTGAAGTCAATAAAATCTGTGTTTTAATGGTATTTGTTCATTCCTTTTCCAACCTTTAACATAGTACCAATACCATAACAATATAGACTTGTGGTTCATGTCGTAAATATTGATCTCGTTGATATTGTATATGTATGTTGGTGATAAATGACCTATCTTTTCACATCATCTCATCTAGAACTACTTAGTCGACATATTAGGAGGTCTCTTAAAGGAACTAGTAAGTGTATAATGAAACCAAGAAACATTTCAAGTATAACAAAGCCTAGCTACTTCTAATTCGATCCGATCATGAGCAATTATAAATTGTTGCATGATCTCGAAATGTTTGGGTTTCCCCAGTTTCAATCCGAAAATCGTCTCCATCAGACAGAATCACGATTCGCCTTTCAAATCGATGACATTTGTAAAGTGGCAAGGATATCACGAATATAGGGGGGAAATCCAGTCGTAAAATATAACGACAATGCACGATATATGGTTCAGTTTCGACATACAAAACGACGGTTTTATGCCCGTCCAATTAGTCAGAAAACAGATTATGCCTACCAAATCTTTATTTGTTTGGTCATATTAAAAGTACTTGGATTAAAGTTTAGGGGAATTTATTATACGTACATAAGTATCTCGTAAAATTTTATTTTATTTATGTTCTAGAAAGGATTGACGCAACTTATAGGAAAGGGGATGCACCTATATACATTCTAAATGACCATGTCATAATCACTGAAAAATTAGCAATCTAAAAAGGACTTCTTTGTTTAACCCTGTATTTGTTTTGATGCATTCAATGAATTAGAAAATTGTCCAATATAATATTAGACTATCAAACGTCATTTCCACTCATATATTTGTTTATACTTAGTTAGGAACGACTACTGAGTAAAATAGCGCAATAACAAAAACATTTTTTGTTTCAGATAAACATACGGTGGAAGAGTTACAACAGTGAATTATGTCAGTGTGTTGTTTCTACAATGACAAGATAGTAGTGTTAACAATCAAATCGTTCACGTGATGCCAACACGTTATTTATGACTGGGACCGTTGGTTTAGTGAGTTGACATTTCGCTTCAATGCCGCGTGTGTAGGCAATGGCTTTGACAAATTTTACGCTCACGGGCGTCGGCGCAGCGACGCCGGCATTCGTATCCACCACCACATCATCACCCCTGCGAGTCGGACTCGACGACTTATTATATTCACCTGATGAATACCAACAAGACGTCCCAGCACAACCATCAGAAAATGAACCATTCATTCCACCAAATCAGCGTCGGCCAAAAGTCAGAAAACGTGCCGGCACTGCCTACCTACCACCAGCCAATCAGTATATGCACTACCAGAATGAGGCTCAACAAAATCCTTATGCAGCACCCCTGCATACCCAGGTTTATCCACAAAATTCAAGACTAAACGTGCAGATAGAAAATCAGCGCGTAAAAGAAGTGAATTCACCGTATGATGTATCAGGGCAATATGATAATACAGGACAGTATGTCCATGATCCTACGGGTGACTACGATTATGAACAGAAAAGAATGAATCAGCACCCGTCTGGGCAGCCGTACAACCCTGGGTATGCGGATGCGCCATATCCACCGGCAATGAAGCCTAACCCCACATCTAGTCGGAGGTTCGATGAAAATTCGAATCAAAATATGAATCAAAATGTGAATAACTTCAATTTTAACAGGCCGCTTAGTAGTACGCCTGCTCCAACTAGGCCGCCCAGTAATCAGGGTAGCAAGACTGGTGGTAGTGAGACTGGACAAAATCCTCCGGAGAGACCGCGAGGGTTTACTAAAGTAGAAACTGGTGGTTCAGGTGGCAAGACACAGCTACATGCAGTTCTTGATTATGATGACGAGGATTACTATGACGATCCTGATCCAGGTAAGATAATTATTTTAATTTCAAATATTTTTCTACCAGTTATTATAACTGTAACTCTAAAACGAGAAATCTTGTCATCATTGGAACATACCACTACTGTGATATATACCTATTTCTAGTTATAGACACATTAATTTTAAACTTAATTTTCTCATTGTTCAGCTGCTATTAAACTTTAAGAAAATTAACATAAACGTAATCTACATAATTCAACCTTGATTACGGTTGAATCCTTAACCTTGATTTAACTCTAGCTTTTGTTTAATCGACGATGTCGGAAATCCTTGCGGTTCTATATTGTCAACAGTCAAGCAATTGTCAAACAAATAAATGTCCGTTTGTTGATGACCGCTTCTTTTGCCACCTAAATGTTTGTCAGCAATCATTTAATCAAGAATAGGCTTGGAATAAAATGCAAATTATGTTTGAAAATAGTCTCGAGACATCACAATCTTGACCTTCGTAAAATTAGTCTACTGCTATGTCTGTTGTAGTAGTTTTGAATAATAAAATGCGTAAATTTTAAAGTTCAAAATGTTTCAACCCTTGACTACAAAAGTTCCAGTTATCTTGGTCATCCTATTTTATAAATATCATACACATGAACGATATTCATATTAATTAGGCATGATGTTATGATATGAAATATTAATACTGCTATGTATAATCGCAGTTAGGTAAATAATCATAATCAGGAAATGAAAATAGGATTCAATTTTAGACTTCAAAAACTTTAACAACAGCAGATGAAACAATATAAATAGGAATAAATACTGAAGAAAGGACAGACATATGAGAAGTTAGTGTCTCAATCCAAATGCAAACTTTGGACACAAGTTTCTAAGTTGACATTCCTATGTATCTTTTGCAAGTAGCAGACAATGTTGACCAATCCAATACACACTTATCTGCATATATACAATCGACTGACAAGTATGTATGTATAGGTTGAAGTAATTGGAGTATCTACGTACTAGCTAACACGTTTCACTTATCTAAGTCAAAGACCTTCGATCGTTTAACCGGTCCCCAATGCCATGCATACAATGGACAGGCGACTGCAGTACAATGCTTACCATTGTCAGCTTCAGGCTATTTCATTTCCTTATTATCAAGTGAATGTGGTTGTTTAACAAGATACTTACAAGTATTTATTTGTTTGATTGCTATAATGTTAGAAGATTCTGCAGTTCCTGTTGATTCTTTTTCTTTTTCTCGTTCTCCCAAATACTTGTGTTTTGTCGTAGTTTATTTAGGAAACATTTTATTGTGATTCTTTTTGCGATCCCTTTTCGTCCTGTGTTCATTTGAAGCGTTTTTGTTTTCCTATCTATCACATAAGATGTTGCTTTTCATATCCCAAATGAAAGACAGAACTACGTGCTTTTCATAATATCCCACATGATTCTAAATTTAATCTGATCTTTGAACATTACTTTCCACTGTAAGGAAAATAGTTTAAAAGTCTTTTTTTATGGAATAAGCCGGTAAACGAGCAGACACATCACTTGAAGGTAAGCAATCGGCGCCGCCCGCCACCCAAAACACCAGAGATGTTACATGTGTGTTACCGGCCTTTAGGGGATTAGAAATTTAAGGATTGTTAGGCAGGGATTCATGGATTGGGGGATCGGGAAGTGTAAATGGGTCTCCGGTAACCTCACCCACACGACAAAACACAATGCAAGCGTTGTTTCCCTTCGGTTTTCTGTGAGGTCGTGGTATCATTCTGGTCAAGCTGGCCCATTCGTGCCGAAGCATGGCTCTCCCACACTTAACCAGTCATATAATGTAAGCTTCATTTACTATAGCTTGGGTAGGTTTTGTGAACTGACTGTATAATAATTATAACAACAACTTAAGGGAAAACTCGTTAGATGTTGTTAACCTAAATTTATATTGCGTTTATATAAACTACGTTTAAAAAACTTCAACAACCCCCTTTTTTTGAAGTCGGTTTATTAATATACCAAAACCTTCTCCTGATTTGTTCAGCTAAGCGCGAGATAATCTCCGAACTGAGAACCTCCTTTTTTCTTTTTCGAAAAAATACTTCATTATCGAAATGAAGTCTATTATAAAAATTAAGCCTACCTTTTAAGTCTCCTAACGACAAGTTTCCATAAAAGCAATGTAATATGGATCATAACATTACCCATTTTCGTAGAAAACGTGATGTGATGTAATAATAAAGATAATCTTAATTTACAATACATTGCAATGTCAAGGTAATCGAACAATAAGATTACTGACATAACAGAACATCACGTCTATTATCTCCGAAGTGGTAGGCAGAGGTGCGCATTACGGCATTTAATACCACAGTACAAATAACACCCACTTTTCACTATTTATGTTATGAGTCCCATGTAATAGGGGGTGAGCCTATTGCCATATACCGGGCCTAATCCCAGACTCCGTGATGCTACTGAGAATTGAAAAAAAATCATTTATACCTTGCCCGGGCCGGGAATCTAATCCGAGACCCCTTGCCCGGCAGTCACACTTGCAACCTCGTCGATCAACGAGGCATTCGTCCTCGTCGAGAGCTTACTGAGTAAGATAAAAAGATTATTGTTGAAGATTTTTAGTTTTGCCATTACAGATATCAACTTTAAGGTAGGTAGGTTTAGCTACTTACTTAGCTACTATCTTAAGTAGGTACTTCAATAAAGTCAAATAAAACAAGAAATAAAGATAAATGCAAAATGAATATAATAAAAGTCATGATTACACATTTAAATTATGCAACAAAGGAATAACTTACTTTGAATCAAGTTGTAAGTTAACAAGACAGTAAGTAAGATCTTATTGGTAGTAACATGAGGCATTATTTCACTTGTAGCATTCTCTCTTTCTGGCTGGAGCCCCGTCCATCCTTGTATATGCGCCGGCGCTAGACATGTGCGTACTTGGTTGTTCACATTGTATGGATATTTGATATATTTTTCCATGCCAAACAATGTGAACACTTATGAACAAATAACTGTGAACAAACATGTTCGCATTTGTCTGATGCCAGCATAGAAACAAGCTGACTAGAGCCCTTAGAACACCTTTTTCACCAATGCCCGTCTTCAGCTCCAGGAGCGGTCTCAGTGATGTCAAAGTTCGTTCTATTCGGGTCGCCCGCGAGGTGTGAGGGCGCCCTGAATACACGTTTGTTGTTGATCACGTAGTTAGCCCCAGTCGCCACATCGATGAACTCCCAAGGGTGTGTCAAGTACGAGGTTACGTCGTAGGAAGCGCCTGGCACCAACCGCTGATAAAATACTTTCTTTCCTTCAAAGTTACGCCACCACACATCCAACTGATGTGATGTGCGATTTGTGAACCGAAGATTCACTTGATGATTTGAATTTAATGATTTCACGAGGACATTCTGCCCGTAGTCATTAACTTCGTATAAAAACTCCCCGCGTGTAGTCATTGTTATTACGACTTCGAAATTTCACCGCCAATTAAATTTTAATTGCAATTACAGAGTGTGCACCACAAGATTGAAATTTTCGGGAATGAAGAGAACCGTCAATGTAGCGTTACTGTCTGGAGTACACTAGGAAGTAGTAGAGGGTCGCTTATCGTTGTCGATTTTATAGCCAAAAAAACAACGAAATGCAACCGTTTTCATCACCACAAAAACTAGTTCCTGAAACAGTTCTCGTTGCATGTGTGCATGTATAGGTACTGTTTAGATACCTAGATATGCATAGATTAGGTATACCTAGGTACTTACTTGTGGTGTTATTGCGTGTGGTTTATGTTTAGATAGTGTATCAAGTACAGGAAACCAAATGACCACAGATTGATAAGTAATTGCTTCTACCACAGTCTGCACATACTTCAAATCAATTAGGCATTTATTCTAAAACAATACCTTACGGAGGGGAAGTACACCTAAATATTGAACTTGAAATTATACTGCTTCGTTCACCGAGTGGTTGCAAGTGCGACTGCTGGGCAAGGGGTTCGATTCCCGGATCAGGCAAAGTTTTATTGGATTTTTTAAAAATTCTCAGTAGTAGCCGTAGCCGTAGTCTGGTATATGGCAATAGGCTCACCCCCTAATACATGGGACTCATAACATAAATAGTGAAAAGTGGGTGTTACATTCAGTAGAATTAACTGCCGTAATGTGCACCTCTGCCTTTTCCTTTGGTGATAATATGTTATGTTGATATTACACCGAATTTTATTGTCAAAAAACGATTCAACCTCACGTACCAACTCCACTTCTTGAAAACGCGAGTGATATTTATGCATAACATGATAATTTAGTCTGACTTATTCCTTTCACTTTTGTAATGTTTCCCTTTATTTTCCTTAAGATTGAATAAGGAAAATGTATTTTTTACACACAAAAGAAGTAGGCTAACAAGTGTTGTCGACTTATTTGACAGAAATTTGTAAATCGTATACCGATCACAATTCCAGAATCCGTGCTACTACTCAAGATAAATAGTGTAAAAAGACAAAAGGCGTTATCTTATGATATTATGTAATTTTTAAATGTTTGTAATTTGCATCCTAAACAAAAATCTACATCAGTTATAATTTCTATATTGATTGTCTATTGATATGGAAGACACTGCACCATTTAGGTGTGGGAGAGCCATGCTTCGGCACGAATGGGTCGGCTCGACCGGAGTAATACCACGACCTCACAGAAAACCGACGTGAAGCAACGCTCATTCACACGACGAAACACAACGCAAGCGTTGCTTGCGTTACCGGAGGCACAATTACCCTCCCCTTCCCCAATCTCCCCAATTCCTGAATCCCAACGATCCTCAAACTCCTAATTCCCCAAAAGGCCGGTAACGCACTTGTAACGCCTTTGGCGTTCTAGGTGTCCATGGGCGACGCCGATTGCTTACCATCAGGTGATCCGTCAGCTTGTTTACCGGCTTATGCCATAAAAGAATTAGTCCGTAGACGAGTAAACCATTGTAGTGGTCCATTGCTGAGATCAATGTCTTTTAAAGAACTGAAGCTCTTGA